ACATTTTAAATATTCAAAAAAAATTTTTTTTCTTTCTTTTTTTATGATAATTCATTCAAAAGTTTTTGTTTTCTTTTAATGGTAAAACAAGTTTTGCGATTAAAAAAAGTGTACTGACTGCTGAATTTTGAGGAATTGCGCTTCCGACATTGATACCTCCCCCACATGCCAAAAAAGAATTCTAAGACCACACGGACGGTTAATGTAACTATTCATGTTGGAATGCTACTACACACTGGGTACAACTCTGTCAGGCCCTCTGATCCTGCACTGCATACCTCCACTTAGTGCTCATGAAAAACAAAAACAATTGCGACATAGCGCCTGTAGGTATGCAGCATTCCGGATTAATCAACTTTGGAAATTTTACAGAAATGAGGAGTGGAATTCTAAAATAGAGGGACTGGGCTAAGTATCATGTGTAAGAAGGCATTTTAAGATGCAGCCTGTGTGTTTCATCCCTTGGCTGTAAACACAGACAGAACATTGCATGCGGATAGGAGCGGGAATCATCAGTACAACCTCCTAGATTTCTCAGTCATTTATGAGAGCAAGAACCCCAATTCAACTATTAAGCTACACTGCGTCTTCTTGATTTCTAATTTTAAGTTTAAATTCAGGATGATGTCTTAAGAGCGAAAAAGCCCTTTCAAACCTATGCTGCACCATTGGGTAGCCTGCAGCAATCGTCACCGAATTCCGTCTTGGGCTCTCTATATCCATAACACGTCATATTATTCGAATTAGTCTTCTGCATTTAACCTGGAACAGAGGACACAAAACTGGCTTTCAAGCTGCTCTGCTTTGGGACCAGTGAGGGGATCTAGCCCATTTTGATGTTATGTTGTACACATTTTTTTAACTTGGTCTTCTTTCTCTTTTACTGTTTATGTTTTTACCCACCATATTTGTATGTTTATTACTGATGCACCAGTTCAAAAAATAAACGTAAACTACGAAACCTGCTTTGTATCCACTCTCTGTGAAAGACGGAGGCGCACGAAGGTGATCCGAGTGCTACCGCACATGCCAGGAGAAACTGCGCAAGATTGACGATGGATTTCTTTTTCAAGAGTTGCAAAATTTATGTTACTTCTGGTACCACGTAAGAACGTGTCAGTGGATCGGATTGAAGCAGACTGATGGTCTGTTTGACTCCCTGGTTTATGCCATTAGCATTTTACCATCTCGAGGTAAATCAGGCGCAAAAACAAGGAAAGGCCAGTGAGTTCAGGTGGTACCCTGTATTACGACTGAACTGGAAATACACTTCACATTTTCTGAAATCAGGAAGAAAATCTCTACCCTTTGTTCGATAAATTGCGTCAGAAACAGACGTATAAATAACTCGACGTATAATTAGACGTGCCTCTTTTTTTAGATGGAAATT